GGCTGGCTGTCAGCAGCAAAGCGGTAGCGGCCTCGCGGAGCAGTAAAGTTGTCTCCGAATGCTAATATTGTAATTAGCAGGAGAGCGAGAAGGGAGAGAGAGAGAGAGAGAGAGAGAGAGAGAGAGAGAGAGAGAGAGAGAGAGAGAGGTACGGGTAGCCAATCATGACAAGACAGAGGCCGTGCGCCCAATCAGCTGGCGGGGCGGGGCGCGAAAGGGCTCAGATGGCGTCAGGCCCGACGCACGTGATGCGTCGTTATGAACTACAGTCACTCATTATCGCGTTCGCAAGAGAAGAGGGGGCCGTACGGTGGGCATGGGAACGTTTGACGCGTGTGTGTGTGAGTGCACTGTAAAATTAAAACTGCTGAACAAAAACAAGTGTAAAACTGCATACATTGATTTTATGCAAAAAAAGCAACCTGAGAATTTTTGCTTCGCGAAACAAAGCTGTCTGTGGGTTTCTAATACCTCTTCGTGTCACGAGCCTCCTCAAATTATTTTATAAATTATTTAATAAAGCTGAATAATGTTCCGACATGGTGGGGTAGATAAATACCTATTGTATTTTTCACACAAATTTTCCTTGTAGATAAAAATAATACATAATGATTTCCGGCGGTTTACGTGATCGACGCTCGGCGTGACCAAGAGACACACCGCAGCAGACGGAGTGTTGATAAAATTGTCTCACCTTAAAAGGAAACTTCCATGAACATTAGAAGAACTTTAGACTTTCCATCTAAACGTCACTCATGTCTCATATCTCTGACTGCCTTCTAATGTTAATAATCGGGCGATGTTCAGAGACACTGCTAGAGGTAGTGTTAAATTCTGTTTTAAAACAGTTTAATTGACTGATCTAGTACAACTACTTTAATTTTTACGATAATTGCTGTAGGTTTTTCTTACACTGTTGTGAGTGAGTGAGACGGGGGAGAGAGGAGGGGTGCTACCTCGTGGAGCAACGGCGGCAGCAACGGGAGCTAAAGGGCTTTTCGGATGGTGGCGCCATCATTGCCGGCGATGTGTGTGTGAGCGGACCTGTCATTGCCGAGTGCCCTTTTGGCGTTGCGCAGCGCTGCGCGGCGGGCCGCCCTGCATGGAGTATGGCGTTGCCACTCAGCAGCCGCCTCGCCCCACCAGCCTGACGTTTTCGGCCCCAGCGCCGCCGATGAAACATTCATAAGCCGTGAATTAGCGCGAGATTGATCGCCTCCGAATGGAGTTGTTGTTGGGAATGGAAATGAAGCGGCGGGCATTAGGGCGGCGGGGCCTCCTCTACGTGTGCGACCTCTGACCGAGCGGGGCGTGCACACAGTGTACTCTGCGGACACCGCGGCGCCAGCGCGCCAGCTGCCACTGTACAGTCCGAAGCAGTCAAGGGTACAGTTCCTTTTCTTTTCTCTAAATGGATGAACTCCTCTCTGCCTCTGCGAGGCGCTCTGCTCCGCTCCTAATGAGTGATGTTGCGTTTCAAATGAATCGATGTCGTTCCGATCGGCAGTTCCGATCCGTATCATTGATCTCTCGCTCGCTCGCTCGCTGGGGAAGGGATGTAAGAGGAAAGAAGAAGAATGAAATAAATATAAGACCAATCGCATTGTGATGGGGATTAAAAGCTCCCCTGTTCTCGGGAGTGTACCACTCGCGTGTCCGACCTGGAGCAGCGCCACGCCGCGCCACGCCACGCCACGCCACGCCGCGTGACGCTGAGGCGACGCGTCGCTCGCTTGGGCTTATCTCGCCTGTTATGCAAAGCGAGTCACGTGCCCAAGCGCGTAGATGTAACGCTCTTGCGCGCGCGTGTGTGCGCACACTGCGCTGTGGTGTGAGATTGTGTGAGTGCATGAGGCTGTCATGGCTTTTGTTGTCCACAAGATATGACCTTCATGAGCGCGCGCGCGCGCGCAGCCGAGATGGACATTTGGCCGACGTTTGAAAATGACTTCCAAGTGCCGTACGACATGGTATCTTCCTTCGTCAGCCCCCTCCTCCTCCCTCCTCTCTGACACTTGCTCTCTCTCACACACACGTACTCACACGGCATAGATCGAGAAATAATTGATGTTTCCGAGTGGCCCGGTCGGCCGGGCCAAGAGATCTTTCTGCTGTGCGAAACTCCGAAGGTGAAAAATAACGTTCCTGTAATGATTGTGATTAATGCAAAACCCCTGGCGAAAATTAAAACGCCATGTATCCTCCCGTCGTCGTTGGGATGGAGCTGGGCCCCTCATCCTCATCCTCACATCGGGCCACGTCATTTTCGTTTTCTCTCTGCGAAATGGAGGATGTTGCATAGGACCGTCGGTCCGTCACTCAAACACTTTTGCTTCAATTTTTCCTACAGTTTTTCATTTATCTTAGAGCGCTGTCTCATCCTTCTTCTAGTTTTTCAATTAGTTACAAAAATTAAAGTTGATGACGGGGTCGATGACCTTTAAACATTTTGAAGCTGAAACCGCCGTAGTAGCTTATATTTATAACGAAAATACTTTTTATTTTATCGGTTGCTCCACTCCTAGCTAAAAATCTACAACATAAGAACAGTAAGCACCTGTTAATTCTATACACAATTTGATGAAACTGTTGATTCTTAATACAGTTTGAACTGTAAAGAACGACGTCGATTTTTACGCCTGCACTTAGTGACTGTCGGATTATTATTATTTTTAACACTGTCCGTGCAGTGGTGGTGCTCTTATTTTTGGTTGTTGTCGCATTGAATCACTCTATGGCTCTCTCGGCGCGCCGCTGGCGTCGAGCGCCACGCAGGCCCCGCCGGACTGCGCTCATGAATGGATAATTAATTAATATATCGATATTCGCGATTCATTACCCGGGGCGGGAATGCGCGCGCGTCGGTCGTGAGTCTCTCCTATAGCGGCCCGACAAATTCATCCAGAACGTAGCGGGAACAGCAGCAGCAGCGCGAGCAGGAGTAGCAAGCTTGTAGCGGGACGGGCCGAAATAATAATGCGCGCTCCTGGATCGCCTCGCGACACGAAGGCTGCGCCGCTTCTGACTCGACTAACTAAGCGACGACTTGCAACTAATTAACTATAACGAACAAAAGTGGCGGCGGCGGCGGCCGAGCTGCGCCGCGCGGAGCGCTGACCACGCGGCGACCACGCGCTCTCACTCGCGGGCGGGAGGGGCAGGGGCGCATGCCACTCGCGGCGCGTGCGGCGCAGCAGCAGCAGCTGATGGACGGTCGTTATTGGTCACATATAGACCGGGGTGTGGCTGTCTGTCGCGGCCTGGCTGGCTGGCGTGTATGCACGTGGTTAACTCCATTCTGCCTCGCACCAGACGCTGCGCTAGCGAGAAAACCGTCTGCCCGGCCTCTGCTGTCCACCTGCGGGAGGAAGTGGAATTAAATAAAAGTGTCGCGCCGCCATCGTGTGCTACTGACACTTGACTGTAGGGATATTAAACACGTTTAAATAGTTGTTTAAAACTGCTTTTCAGCTTTGTTGTTTTTTCTACGGCCCGAGTCTTCCGTTTCTCACGGCCGTTCTAATGTGTGTGTTGTGGTCACACTGCACTGCGTCTTCAAACCGACATTGCGGTAACGAGACGCACTCTAAGTGACTCGTCGCGTGAGCAAGGACGGGAGAAAAATCGAATGTGTCACAATAAGGGAAACCGGAAAAACGTGCCCAAAACAAAAATAATGAAGACGACGCACACGAGAGAGGACGCGACGTCGCGCGAGAGAGTCGCGCGAGACTGCGGGGAAAGGAAAAGCAATACGAAACGGGAAGGAGAGATAGAGGGAGACTGATAGATGGCGACGAAAAAAATGAAAAAAGTTGGAAGAAACCAACAAACTAACTAGTATGCGCGGTTCGGTTCGACAAGACGTAGTGTCTTCCCTCTAATGAGCAGGCATCGAGACGCGGCACCCCAACCGATTCTGATCGCAATTCTCGCCGCTTAATAAAGACGAAAGGCAAACAACATTTTTTGAGAAATGAGACAGACGAGCGCAAGACGTGGGGCCGGGCCGAGCGCGCCTAGGAGACACGCACAGCGCTCGACGCAGATGAATTATTTCGAGATAAACGTCTCCCGGGCGATACGGGAAAAAGTCAACATTGCGCGGCTCTGGCCGCTCCATCAGGACCGCCGCTGACTACATGACGTTGACAAATGAAGATCAACCCGAATCAAGAGTCCGCGCCGTCACCCCCTCCACTCCGACCTCGACCCGCCGAGCCCTGCTCGCTGTAACCCCTTCTTCTTCGCAGCGGCCCGCTACTTTTCGGTCGGTTGTCGGTTGTAAGGCGCTGGCAAGGCCCTGATTGTGTCATCGCTTTCTGACGACGCTGTCGTGTCAGTTTGGTTTCGGGTGCCTCGAGTAGGTTCGAACGCGTCTCTTGGTACGTCTGTCGGCCGTCAGATGGCGCCAGCGACTGGACCTCGGCGTGTTCAGTCAGTCAGGTCGTGGAGAGAGGCCGCAGTTGACAGCACTTAATAACGTTTCTTACTATACACCTTTGCCTTTGACATTTTCATATTTTGGTACTTAAAGCCAAAATGTATTTTAACCTATGCGCGACAGGTGCTCAGGGCTAAGATTTCGGATGCGTGTCTGTCTGCCCCCCATAGCAAACAGGCGAGCCGAACTGCAGCGCCATGAGAGCTCTGGAAACTTGTTTTAGTGGCGGATTATAAAAGGCTGTGTTTATTGCCGTGCTTGTTCCCACAGGAGACAGTGAAGGCGGTGGTCTGCTGGAGGAGAGTGATGCATGAGTGATAAAATTAATGTTGCTGTTGCATCGACTGCGACCGCCCCTTCAGAAATTTGCACTGTGGGACCCACCCGCCTCGGCCTTTTGGCTCTGAAGTGACTATCTGAAGTTGCCTCCTGTAGTGATTCTCCCCAGGGATCGCCTGCATTGGCCTCCTTGCGCTGACGGTCCTGCAGCGACCTCTCTCTGCTGTGACCTCCGTGACCTCGTGAAGTGACCTCTCCACCTTCGTTCTGTTCTCAGGACGCGGCGGAAGGACGTAGACGGCTCGCCGGGCGACCCGGACGTCGACGGGCACCCTGCGTCCGGCGGCGAGGTGGACGGCGGTCAGTGGCGGAGCTCGCTGGAGCACCCGCTGACCGCCGCCACCTCGGCCATGCTCAACATCAACTCGGGTCCCGAGGACCCCGCCAACCCCTCGTCCAACGGCAGCAACCCCCCACCCATGTCGTTCGCCGTCTACGACTACAAGACTGACAAGCTGGGCGAGCTCTGGTCGTAAGTATCTGCGAAGGCTCCCGACCCTCGGTTGTTTGCCGATAGGGCACTTTTTCGGTTGACGCCTCTTGCGCCCTCGCCCTGCCTTGCGTTGAGGTCTCCGGCGCCGCGAGCGGTTCGTGAAGTTGCCGTCAGCCCTGGGACGCCTGGCGGGGCGTGAGGTTGCCTCCTCCTCCTCGCAACCCCGTCGATCTTCCCTTACCACGCCTGGTACATTACGATCGAGCCCCTATCGCCTTTTCCACCAAATGTATCAATATCCGACCCTCCGCGGAGACAATCGACTCGCTAAGAGGATTACCCCCCGAACCCGGGGGTGTCCTCCTCGGGTCCTGCGAGGCGGCCCGCGCACCCCCTGGACGGCGATACTCTGCACTCAGCTGGAAAAGTGGAATCGCAGATCCAATCATCATTTCTTTGCCCATTTCCGCGTTTCATTAATCCCTGATCGGTTCGACAGGCGAGACGAGGGCTGAGAAGAGAGAGGG